GTCAGCCTCTTTTTGTTATTAAAACTTTTTTTTTGAGTACTTTGAGTGTCTGTGCCCTGGGTTACCTTTTTAAGTCTGGATTGTGTCACCTCTGGCAGTTCATCACTTTCCTTTGTACCTTTTCTATCGCGTTTACAGAGCACAGACAGGTGTGAGCAAATACAAGTGGACAAAACCGAGGCAGAGACTTGAGTATATAAAAATGAAATAAGTTTATTTACACAGGAACGGGGGAGTGGACGTGACCTGAAAGCAGAGGGTTGGCAGAGATGAGTCTTGAGGCAGTTTGATCCAGGAAATGACTTATGGAAATAAAGAGAATGTTTGCTTACTGGTGAGAGCTTCAGATGACGCGAGGAGGAGTAGGTCCGATACTTGAGATCCCAAGGTGAGTATTAACAGGTGAGTTTCTTATTTACAGATGAGGGGGAGGCGGTGAGGCAGCGCATGAGAACAGGTGAGCGGCTCAAGGCAAGACTGGCAGGTGAGACCAGGGTCCAGAGACTTTCAACAAAACAGGTACTTAATCCTGGGAAACAGATTATCACAAGGAGATACAAACAAGTAAATACAACTACTGTTGTCAGAACTAGTAGCAGGCTGAGAACATTACCAGAGCAGTATGATGTTTCAGCGACGAGTTGATCCACAGGTCTCCCTTATAAAGCCCGCAGCTGATGAGCCAGGTGAGTTGCAGCTGATGAGCTGGGTGAGCTGCAGGTGCGCCTAATATGTGTTGCCAGGTAGGCAAGGAGGCATTTGGTGTAAAACACCGAAATGCCTCAGTTTTTGTATGAATCACAGCTGAAAACAACAGATGGTGTTAATGAAAACTCAAAAAGTTGTACTTTTGTTCCTTCTGCTTAACAGATAAAAATATAAAAAATAATTTYAAGGTCATTTTCAGATGTGGGAAATTAAACAGACTACAACAGCTGACTAATTCTATGCTAGCTCTAAGTAAGGAGAAACACCAGTACTTAAGTGAACAAATACGTCAACTGTTAGTAACAAATATTGATAAAGGTAAGCATGCAGATTTAAAATAGAAACTCACCAACGTTGGGGTTGGAACATCTCCATCAATTCATAGTRGTTTGACATACAGTGTAATGATGGCAAACAGCAATATTGTAACAGGAACTTGACCGGAACGTGGCCAGAACACAAGAACAAAGGTTAAGGCTCAGTTTTGGAGGGTTATTCATCATAAAAGAAACTAACACTCCAGCCCTGAAACCTCCTATTTAAAAAAAAAAAAACCGTCTTTGCTCTTGAAGCTGCTATTGACACTGGGGGTTCTTTTTCCGCTGACCCTGACACTGCGTACACATAATAAATATGGGAGAGGGATAAATGCAAGTAGAACATGTTTTAGATCTTCAGCAGTTGTAATTGTAGTGTGCTTACTGCTCTGACTCAGGAGCTTAGAGGGTGAGATGTTCAGCATTTCAGCCTCCAATCCTTCGTCCTCCTCCATCACTATGAGAGATCAAAAAATTAGTATTAAATTTTTAAGGCCATGTTTACCCTTTCATCTTCATCAGTTGTTAAAACAACATTCTTAGTTGCTCACCTGGAGGTTTATGTAGCACGCTGGATGGTGTAGATGTCTGACTGGAGGATGACTGCCGTCTCTTGAGCAGATACTGCTGCAGCTTATTCATCCGAGTCCCAGGAAGGCAGGTCTTCTTTAGTATGAAGTCAGCATAACCATCTTCTCTACTGTCCCAAATCTCCTTCCAAGTGCTCTTGGCCCGAGAGCCAAAACCAACCAGCTGGTCATGTTCAGAAGTTGCTGCAACAGTGTCTCTGTTTTCATAATTAACTGCATCTTGTATGTCTTTAAAACTGAGCGCATACTTTACAAATGTCAGGAGGTTGACCTTGTTACGGTTCTCTGTGACACAGATGCCAGCTTCCTCTTCCTTTTGTAAATTTTTGATGAGGTACAAAGTGTAACCGACATCATTTTCTAAAAGCCACCGGAATTTCTTCCCTTTATATTTTCCAAATTGGAGGCTGTAGTCTCCCAGCACCTCTGAAGCATCTGTGACATCCCCTCCTCTTTGACGAACCGCAGACAAAGCATTTTGCCGAACAATATCCTCTCTCTTTGYCTCCGACTTGTCCCACAGACTAGGATCATTTTTTATCCTTTTGGCCTCAGGAGAGGGRTCCTGCAGAAGAAATCCACTGGGTCCCTTGCGGAAAACGACACTTAATTTCCCTGGATAAAAGATGATCTTCTTCTGCATTTTGACCTAATATAAAAAAAGGGTGGATCATGTGTTAAATAAAATACCTGAAAACCTTTTGTACAAAATCTTATGATTAATTAATTTCTTGTTTCAACAGCTGTACAGTTTCAACAGCTGCTGCACAGAGAACCCTTTCCTTTGCATGATCAATTCAAGTTTTATTTATATAGAGCCTAATCACAAGAAATGCCCAAAGCACTTAACCAAAATATAACTGAATTTCAATCACACAAACATTAGATTAGATTAGATTAGATTAGATTAGATTAGATTAGATTAGATTAGATTAGATTAAACTTTATAGCTCAAATTATTAAAAAAAGTTTCTATTTAGGGAAACCTAGCAGGCTTGCACCAAGGAAATAAGTAAAAATAAATTTTAAATATATTTTTATTGCCTTTTATTTTCTGTTCATATAGCTCTGAAGTTCAAAAGGTACTCAAGATGCAGCTWAAGACAGTAAGGACATAAGATATAATGATTTATTTCTGTTTTTATTTACTTGTACAACAATCAGATCTTCAGAAGTATATTCTGGTATAAAAAATTGATGATTTCACCCAACAATACGAGACATTTTGTCAGAGATTAAAAATGTATCTATAATTTTGTAAAAAAAAAAAAGCTGATGTTATCCTCACTTTCATGTCAAACATAAAGTAATCCAGATCGTTAATAGTTATGGTTTGTTAAGCAGCGTTACAACACTTTTTAAGACATCAGCACGGTCTAAATTCAGCTTTAGTGTTAAACACCGACAAATAAACACGTAGCAGAAGACAGTAAAGCTGCCGTTATCAATAAAACTCTTGTTATACATTTCGCCGAAATGACTCAATCGTGACAATAAACAAGTTCAATTTGTTTCACTATCAGCGTAACTTACCTTTTAAAACATGAAAAAATGGATGGAAATAGGTAACGATCTGTTTTCTTTGATTTATTTATCTTCTTCCCGCGCGAGAGCAGTTTTCTTTGGTGGACTGGTATACTGCTGCGTTACTTCCGTTTGTAAGAAGGAACAGCACCAAAGCACATAGTGGTCAAAACTATATTGCATCCGTAGTGGTTCAGCACTACCATAGGAAATGAATGGGAAAAGGTTTAGGGCTGTTTAGGCCTTGGTTCGATTCCCGGCCTCATTAGGAGCAACAAGAGAAGTTGTAGCACTCTGAACCTTCAAACCTCTGCTTACAGGTGACTCTGTTTTATCTTTTTGATTGGTTGAATGGTGCCAATACGTGACTTTCTGAGCAGGATCACATCATGTCTTCTGTTGTTTCCTTATTATCTACATTAACAGTACTAATTTAACCAAAATATACATACGTAACAAAATGTGACAAAACATTTAAAGGTGTCACAAATGCATTATTTTTTCTGTAATAAATTAATAGAAATTACCACGTTGAAGTCCACAGCCCTAGTAATAATATAAATCATAAACAGTTTATTGATTAAGGCTGATTATAAAAGATACAATGACTGGCACCCACCTGTTGACTTAAGTCATCTTTCTGAAGATCAACAGGAGATTGCGAAAGAGATGATGTATGAGGAGTCTTGCAGCATTTGCTCATGACATTGGTTGCATTCCCAGTCTACAGATAACACTAAACCTGTAAGACGACATCCCTATGCAGAAAGCCTACTCCTCAATCCTGTAGTTTTTGTTCTCAGAAGTAAAATAGTATATCCAAGATCTTTTAGCAAAGAGGTGGATCATCAAGTCAAAATCTTTCTATGCAGCACAAGTGGTGTGCATTAGGGAAAGGGATGGTTCACTGTGCCTTTGTATTGACTACAGCAAACTCAATCAGAAAACCATCCCTGACCGGCACCCATTACCACATACCCAGGATCTTACTGATACACTGGGTGGCCAGTTGTGGTTTAGCTTTCTTGATCAAGGCAAGGCATACCACCAAGGGTTTATGGCAGAAGGCCACCAAAATGACAGCCGCCTTTTACGCAGAGATGTGTCAGTGTAGTATTTTGATTAAACTAATTTCCAGATCATTACTATTTTAATAATGAGAGAAAGGTCAATCCATCAATCAATACTTTGTAAGGTTTAGTAGTCTTTTATTGCATGGTTCCAAATCATGAGGTATTTGATCGGTTGGTTTGTTAGCTGTAATTTACATCAAAAGGCCAAAACAACAACAAAAAAAAAAAAAAAACAACTAACCTCCCCGTCGGGGAATCGAACCCCGGTCTCCCGCGTGACAGGCGGGGATACTCACCACTATACTAACGAGGAGATGTCCCTGTGGTATTGCAGCTCTTTTTTTGATGTTTTGTTTTGATGTACTGTCATACTAAAGGCCCACTTTTCTTTGAGTTTTTGAAACTACTGTTTTGTAGATACAGCAACATTTCTGTTTAGTTAGCTTGCCTAAACAAATAGCTTAGGCGTAAGTAATGCATTTTAGGAGGGCCAAAACCCCCTCAAAACCATCCAAAACCAATCTAAAGTGGATTAGGACTAGGCATGTGACGGTATGAAATTATGACCTCACCTAACCTCACCAGGCTGTGTGTACTGGTGAATTGGTCAATAATTGTACCCACTATGAAGCAAAAATCTGTATACACACACAGACACCCGTGAAACGTACGGTCGGTGGGACGCACCCCATACCCAGTCAGGAACGTTTCTCRGCACCGGCCCGGAGGCCGGCTACCCTTAACCAAATGAGGAGTAGCAGCATGTCGTACCATCACGTCTAGGTCAGAAACCTCAGGAAGAGGACAGTTTTTGTTTGAAAAACATTTTAAAAAAATAACTTVCCTCCCCGTCGGGGAATCGAACCCCGGTCTCCCGCGTGACAGGCGGGGATACTCACCACTATACTAACGAGGAGTTGATGCACTAGAAAAGGCCACTTTTTTAAAAAAAATTTTGTTAATATGTGCAACTCATATATCATGATTAATTATTTCACATTCTGTTTCACTTGAGTGGTTGTCATTTACTGCTGACTCAGCAGCCCTAAAGCCCTGTCATCTCATCTTGCTTCCAGTTGTTAATGGTTGAGCTTGGTTATTTTAGAAGAACAGCACCACATGGCATAGTGGTTATAAATATATTCTATACATGATGGTATGATGAAGATATACTACAACTGGAAATGAATAGGATTCAGTTTAGTAGTCTGTAGCCAAATAAATTTCATCAGCTGTGTCTCTGTCCTGTCTGCATGTATAAAAGTCTTGTCYGTTGTTTACATGTGGTTTCCGTAGTGTAGTGGTTATCACGTTCGCCTCACACGCGAAAGGTCCCCGGTTCGAAACCGGGCGGAAACATGTTTTCTATTTTTCCATTATTTTTATTGCTGCAATGTCACCAAATTACTTTGCGGGCTTTGCAGAAAGTTGTTCATGGTGAAGGTATGGCAGAAATGTACTTTGTGTCTGTAAAAATAATACATCTGAGGCTGTCACCTGATTTGTTTCTGTTGTTGGTTCAGAGTTTTGTTGATCTGGAGACAGATGACAAGGATTTTATTTGCCTTGAATTTCTAATAATAATAATAATAATTTTAAAAAACATCGCAAAATTAATTAATTAATGCAAAGTCAATGAAAAAAAAAACAGCAAAAGATTTGTTCAGTGTCCACTAGATGGAGACACATGAAATGCATGAAATGGAATCAAAGATTTTAAAATAGACCAGTGGTTTTCTGACACAGGTTTTTTTTTTTTTTTTTACCCACAGACTCAATAAAAAGAGCAGAACAAACAGAGAAAATATGAGGGATGAGAACAACATAGGCCCATATAATCTGATATATATATATNGTTAATATTTTTGTAGTACAAAATACACTACACGTTTTTCTTATATTTGATCAAATTCAGGTAACTTTTTATGTCGGGCAGGTAACACTTGTCATTACCTGCGCCTCACCACCTGGTCCTCAATAAAACAACGAGTCCCATGCCTGGTTCCACCTCGAGCTGCACCACCGCCATAACTCCGTCTGTGAACTTGGTCGTCTTTCCTC